ATTTTTCTGACCTTTATTTGATTTTTTATAATTTTTTAAATTAAAATAATATCAAATATTTCACAAAAGTAGGCCTTCTGATCATAGAGAAGTTCTCTGATCCTGAAAAAATCTGAGAAGATCTCTAAGCTCATTGAGAACAAGCCCCTAAATTTTTAATTACTTAAAGTAAATATTTAATTAGTTATTAATTAGTTACCTTCTATATTATTTAATTTATTTAAAATAAAATCTTAATAAATGTTTTTATTTTTTGGCTTACTAAATTCTCCTCTATTTACTCAACACAGATGTATTTTTTTTTTTTTTTATGAATTTTCTACACCAAGATATGAATTTTAAATTTTTTTTGTAAATATTTACTTTCAAAATACCCTATTTATCTACTTATTCGAGTCAGTCACCACGTCAAACCTCGACAGTTTTTAAGAATAAGTGTCATTGTTTGATTGGTTCCTCTTTACGCGTCAGCTGGCCACGTGTCCCGCAGTTCCCGCTCCAAGCCCTCGTTCGACGCGATCTCAGTCACCCGCTCGATACCTTCATCTAAGTGAGATGAACCTATCTATACGGTCACATACGTATGAAATACAAGTTCACTTCACAAATGATGAAATCGAAGCAAAATTGAGGGTCTTATGGTTATATCTTTGCTCAAGGGGTGAGGCCTCAAATGGGTTGGTTAGAGTCGTCTTGAGTTCACGAAGCTCCTTGAAGTGCTGATTTGAGCTAAGGCACCACCTAGGTATGACTTTAATCAGAAGGTGGCTCAGGCTTGGTCTAGAGCTATGTTAGGGCGCTTGAAAGAATGGGCTTTCGATTAGGGAAGTATATTTGAGGTCTAGGGAAGCTTATGAAGTAATTAATTTTTGGTTTTGAGGAGTTTGGTTCCAAGGCCAAAAATTGATCAGAATTTGGGTGATGAAAATGAGCTCGGAAAGTGGAAATGGGGGGCTGAAGATGGTGGGATTGAACTTAGGAAGGTTGTAACAAGCTCTTTGACACCTCCTCAAATTTGGCAGTGGAGGAGGGGGGAATTTATAATTGAGGCCAAGGGGGAGGTCTCAGGCTGCCATTGACTGGTGCCAATAAGCAAAGGTGGAGAGCTGAGTGGCACAAGTGACCAATTGGGTCTCACAAAAAATGATGGATCAAATTTAGAGTTTAATCCATGGTGGCCTCTCTCAATTTTGGGTTTTCCGACCACTAGGGCGGCCGACTAGACCAGGGGAGGTGGCTAGTTGGCTCAGGGAGGCCAGGGAGGTTTAATGGTGATTAACTTGAGGCATGAGAGGGCTGGTTGCATGAGTTAGAGAGGTAAACAAATTTAGGGGAGGATTTTCCATGATTTAAGGTACCATTGGCCCATGGCTCAAGAGAGGGGTATTTGGTGATGTGAAAGGATCTCTTAAAAGTCAAACATGGTAGGTATGGATTAATTCAAACGATTTGAGGTGGATTTGGAATTAGATTTAAATTTGGGTTTGGGCTAGGCCTGGGCTTGGATCCAAACCAATTGAAAGCTCAAATTGGGCTTGGATAATGTCATGATAAATTTAGAAAACAAATTTTATAGAATTAGAGTGTTCACATAGCTCAATTTGATCGAATTTGAAATTGAGGCCAATTTTGGGGTAATTGACTTTGACTTGGAAATTAGGTTAAATTGGGCTTGAATTAGGTTCACATTGGGCTTGAACATGATGAAATTTGCTTTGGATTTTATATTGGGTGAATTTGAAATGAATTTGGTGGAGATTGGAGTTGGATTGGAGACTTTGAGAAGTTAGGGGTAATTTGGGAATTTTGGCAATTTTTGGTGGATTTAGGGGATTTTGGATGCAATTGGAACATTAGGTGGTTAGGATTGGTTTTGGTGAGGTTTAGAATGAATTTAAGGGTTTTGGCACTTTTTAGGGTTTTGGGGGTATATTGGCAATTTCTGGTGGTGTAGGAGTATTTTGATAATTTTGGGTATTTTGGAGGTGTTTGGGCAATTGGTGTAATTTGAAGTGTTTCAATATGATTTTTGGTGAATAATTGGGAGTTTGAGTGATTTTGGAAAATTTAGGGTTTCAATGGCATTTTGATAATTTTGGAGAATTTTGGAGGTAAGAGGTCAATGTTGGATATTTTGATGGAATTGAGGTTCATTGGACATCTTGATCATACAAACAATAGAAACCCCTCCCCTAAGGTTATAAGAACCATGGGAGAGCTCATATTGGATCCTCCACATGTTGGTCCTGGCCTCTTAGTCAAAGTTTAAGGGCCTGAAACCACTCACATGAGTTTCCAAAAGAGACAAGGAGGCAGGCCAAGTGCAGTATGACTTTAGGGTTTTCGAGTGAGTAAGGTTGTGATGAGCTCAAATGTGTGTGTGACCAATACCAAGCCATCTAGGGTTACCTTATGACCTACAAGTCCTATGGGAACTCTCTTTAAGCTTCCTCTTGTTGGCCCCAACCTTCTAAGTGCTAGAGGTTAAAACCAATTAAACCATACATGTGGCAAAGAAGTGCTTTGAACTTCTAAAGGAGGTGGGTTCCATCACTATACTTCTAAGATATTCAACAGGCAAGTCTTATGGCTACATCCTAGGCTCCTAAGAGAAGAAGGCTAGACCTCATCAAAAGTGAGATCAACACATTCATGTCATCTCTAAACCCTTTCTCCATCTTAAGACATCATTTTAAAGTCAATTTACATTTTTAAAGTCCATCCAACATAAGGCAACATCATTAGTATATTGATACTTGATTTATCTCAAGAAAAATAATTCATTTAAATATAAACACAAGCTTGACTACAATTTAATTTGAACAAGATTTGACTTATAATCAAATCATGCTCGAACATGTTTGAGATTGTGTAAGATCATACATCAAATAAAATATGAACCTGGTTTAGAAGCCATTTAAAGAATGCCAAAGAAGGTTTGAACATAGTTCAACTAAGAATGAAACAAGTTTTGAACTTTGTTAAGATATGGTTCATAGAAGCTTTGGCAAAATTTAAACTATATTTGAATCATATGCGAATAAGTTTCCCACATTGCATGTACTTATTTGGTCCTACATTTTTTAATCCCTATCTAGTTATGCATAAAAATTCAATTAAAATGGCTTCAAATCAGTTGCTTATTAACATAAAGCCTGCATCATATGATATAATATTATTTAAATAATAAAAAATTTACCCATGGCTATCAAATTTGATTTTAAATTCTTTCATTTATTTCAAATTCACTTTATTATATTTTAATTTATATTAAGAAGAATTTTAAAATTAATGAATGATAAAATTAATAATGAAGAATGCTCGAAAGTGTAAAGAGGGAGGAGGTGGGAATAAGTTATTTTGGATTTTTCAACATGATATAATTATTTAGACATAACAGATTGTGTATTTGTCTACATTTCGGTTGAAACATTGAACTATATGTATCTAATAAAAAAAACATATTTAGAAATCTAGAACATAAAATCTTTTCATAAATAAAATCTAAAATTTTTGTTCACTTTAGTTCAGACAATGTGACTGGGAGATGAAACACACCACTTGCGTGTTTTTGTCCATAAGGAGGACACATTCTTACTTGCTTGAAAAAGATAGAAGAAGATGGGAGGCACGTTCATCAAGAAGTAAAGATGACACCAATTTGTTTTTCATTGAGAAATATATAAGTAGAAGATAAGTAGAAGGGGGATCGCTAGTGAGTTACATGCATGAAAAGGAATCATGAAGAACTGGTGAAGCAGCTCCTCTATATGCATTCGAATGAGGAGCTTTGGAATCAACATGATAGGCTAGCGAAGATAGGGAGGCTAGTATTTTTTTTCAAACATATACATTCATAACATCCAATTCTTATACATTTACTTATCTCACACTCAAAATTTAATTTTTACAAGCTAAACACTTTTTCCTACGTATGGAAAGATCTAAGAACAGATAGAGTACACGATTTACATAGATAGGGTGTTTTAGATATAAAAATCAAAGTTTTTGTGTGAGATAAATAAATGCATAAGAATTGGGCACTATGTATGTAAATTTCCTATTTTTTATGTATCTTTAATGGTAGCAGTAGATTTTATTTATTGCAAAGTTATAAGTATAAGATTAGTAAAAAATGGATTTTTAGGTGCTTAAACTTCAATATTTCAAGTGGTATAAAAATAAATTATTTTTATCATATTGTTAAAAATAAAAATATAATGGACTACCAACTCAAATATACATATTCAAAATTTGTCTTTACTAAACTATACCAAAGCTATACAATCAACAAGCTCAAAAAGCCTCCATTTTGGGAAAAAAATATTACATCAGTACTACACACGTAGAGTAACGTGCGTAGCCAATGAAATCACGCCACGTCACCCCGTGCGATAAAGAAAAAAAAAACGGCACAATGTGTTATTCATGTGTTATTGTGTGTTATTCATGTTATTTATGTGTTATTGATGTGTTGTTGTGTTATTATAACACCAAGAATATTCTCAGAACACAATAACACATGAATAACACGAGAGGAATATTATACAGAGAAAAAAACGGCGCAGTAACACGGGATAATATTCCTCTCGTGTTATTCATGTGTTATTGTGTTCTGAGAATATTCTTGGTGTTATAATAACACAACAACACATCAATAACACATAAATACACATCAATAACACATAAAGAACATGAATAACACACAATAACACATGAATAACACATGGAGGAATATTCCCCGTATTACTGCGCCTTTTTTTTTTCGTCGGGCGGGATGTCGTGACGTGATTTCATTGGCTACACACGTTAATTCCACGTGCGTAGTACTGATGTAATATTTTTGTGGATTTAGAAAATAATTGGCTCCTAAAACCCTTCTCTTCCCATCAATTCTAAAGCCCCTAACACCTACCTCCTCACTGACCATATCGCCATGCTTTTCTTCCGCGCATTTCTTCTCTGCTCTTCCCAGGGCCCCCCCCGGGGGGCCCCTGCCGGCGCCACCTTGGTAAAGCCAAACACTCGACCTCCACCGCCGCCGCCACCGGTTTCTCCACGACCGCCGCAGAAACCAGTCCCCTTCACGATGCACGGCTTCACATGGCACGACCCTTACAGCTGGATGTCGAATCTCTCCGACAGCGTCTCGATGCGCCACATGGACGTGTACATGGAGCAAGAGGAGAAGTACACCGAGGCGGCGATGGTCGCCGTCGGTGCAGACCGCCTTCAGCGCAAGCTGCAGATCGAGATGGCTCCTCATATGTCCTCTCAACTCTGCTCACCTCCCCTTCGATGGGGCCCGTGGCTTTATTACCGCCGAGTTGAGGAGGGGAAGCCCTTTCCGGTGCTCTGCCGCCGTAAGGCTATCTTGCAGGAGGAGTTCATTTCCTACAATGTGCCCTCTGCTGGCTTCGACTTAACTTCCGGCAAGAGAATTGAGCAGAAGCTGCTCGATTATAACGCTGAAGCTGACCGATTTGGAGGTAAGCGAGCAAACGAACGGTAAAGGAAAGGTTTCTTTGAATGCAAACTGCTCTTTCTTTACAGCCGAGTGTAGCATAGTTTTTAGGGTTTACATTAGGGCGCGTTGTTTGTCTTTAGTCGGCAATGAGAAGTGATTAATAGGCCCATGGCTGAGCAAACATTTACACCTTTTTTGCTTAGGCAATTTAGTCAAGTTACAAGAATCTGTTTGATAGCCTTGTCATTAGTCTTATAAAATCGAGTCACGTTACTCAGTATTATTTCAAATGCTTTGCTCTGCGTTGTGCGTTGCCATTTAATGTTCATGGCTCCTGAGTAGCCCCGGAAGCCAAGCCATCACATAAGGTGAGGACAAAGCAAAAAACACACGCGCGCACACACACACACTATAAGATTTAAGTATCATTCAAACTGTAAATAGGCTGAAAAAATTTCCAATATTATTAACAGCATCGATGATATTGTTTTACAAAAGTATTAAATATATATTACAATTTGCCTTGGGGAGTTTCCCTATTTTGAAAATGTTGCAGAATGAACTCATTATCAATTTTGTTAAACATGACTCTCTCACTATGTAATCAAGTAATGAAGTAATCTTTTATCCAAAGACCACTCATCCTAGTCCATTGTCTATTTTTTTTGCAATATTCACTGTTAAAAATGAGTGTTCAATGATTGTGTCATGACTGTAAGAACCAAGGCTAATTTTAAAAGCAAAAATATTGATGTATAAACCATATTTTGATTTGTTTTTGCCAATTTTTTTAGCTAGTAAGTTAATTTCCTTCTCATGAGAAAAACCATTACATGTGTGCATTCAAGTTCACATATCTTAAAGATTGTGAATCACTTGGTTTTGTATGGTGCATTCGATTGCACAATCATTTCAAGTTGCATTATACTAAAAAACTCCAATATTATATGTGAACGACCTTTTCATACATAAATTTCAAATATATTTGAAAGATGTTAAAGTTGTCTTTTATGCTTTTCATTGTTTGAATTAATTGCAGAATTAACTTGCTGCCAACTTTGTTGAAAAATCCTTCTCAGTATATGTAACCAGATGAGCATCATCCAAAAAGAACTTTTTATTCCATAGTCATTATTTTGCAATATCATTGCTTTTAATGGTATCGGTAGCAATTTGAAAATTCAATACTAATTTTAAAGAAAAATTTGAGTTTTTATCCCAATCAATGCACAATTTTAGATTGATATCTTTTATATAAAAAATTGGGAAGTTTTTTTTTGGACCAAAATACCTCCAGTGACGGATAATCTACTTATTCATAAATATTCACCATGATTTAAGATGAATAAACTGTTATCATTATCGATGTAAATTATCTTTCATTATCAACTTTGAATTTGCTTAAGTTGAATTGACCTGTCTTACAAGTTGATTGAAGTTTGAGTATTTTTCGTTGACAAGTCATTTTAAAATCTCAATTTTATGTGGAGGGGAACCTGATCAAACTAATTTGAATTCAAACTCGTTTGAACTTGTTTCAAACACCTGATTTAAATTAGGTTTGAACTAATTTACATATGAATTGCATTCAAATTTTCTTATGCTATAATCTAAAAAAATTCAACATTTCAAATTTCTGATAGATCTTGATAATATTGCTAAATTAGTTGTTTTAAAATGCTCTGGCAATTTGAAAAGTTATTATTCATCTTGCTGCTGAGATCACTAATGCAATTATTAAGTTAATTGCAGATTAGTTATTTGCTATCACAGTGTTTATAGGAGCACTTTATGATGTATCAAAGAGAACAAATGGCGGCTGCTTTACAATACGTTAATAAGGGAGTAAAGGTTTTGAGAGATTTATTTGAATTGTGCTTGCTACTTATACTTTAGTTTTACCACTTCAGCAATCAACAATGTCATTGTTGGTCAAACATAGGCTAAACATTTCTAGAATTTAAGGGAAATATATGATGGTGCAAGAAACATGGTCGTTGGATTTAGTTAAATGAAAATCCATTGCATCTTACGTGCACTCTTTTATGCTAAGGGACTTTCATTTGCAAAAAAATGGAGGGACTTTCATTAGGTCTTATAAGTCCAAATGCAGGCTAAATTATCACCGTTTTCGTACCCAATGCTTTCTCCTTGTATTCGTTTCAAAGAGCAAATTTTTCATATCAAATATCCTTGTATATTTCTTTGAGAATTATATTTTGTTTGATTGTGAATTAGTCTCATGTCTAACTCATGTATATTAGAAGTGCTTTCTATGTGTGCTAATTTTTTATATCTAGATTGTATTATATTTTTAAAGAGTGTAATATTTCGAAGTTGATTTTGGTTTAATTCCATAAATTAACGAGTTGGTCGTTAAGTATAGTTTCCAAATATAATCCTAATTCAACTTGTTGTTTTAGGATCATGTAACTAACAACAATCCATTCATTTGAATTTTCTAAGGGAGATTTGACATGAAAGATCTTCTCTTTGAGAAAGACTTGTAATTGTTTATTCTTTATGTTTATCTGCAATAATTCACAAATTTTATTAAATTCTTATTCTAAATAGAATTTATTCATTATTAACCTTATCAAAATATCTAACCTAACTTCATCTAAAAGCAATCGCTTTTTTAATTCTTTTTCATCTTTCATTTAAAATTTATAAGAAATATAATTAGATCTATAAGACCATGAAGGTGTACAAAAACATTCAATATATTCAGTACATTCATATGTTTTAACCTGTTGATCGTCAGACTCTGATACCATTTTTGGGGCCTTCATTTTCTCAAATTTTATATTAGATAATATTATTTTTTCTATTTGTTCCTCTATATTTGTATTTTTTATTTTATCTTCCATTTTTAAATAGTTCTTCTCACTCTTTTATCCTTCGGATATTATAAAGTAGTCTCCAGTCCATCATGCTTCCTATTGAGAGCATATCCTAATATTATCTTACGTTGTTTCTACCTATTCTAGGGTTTAACCTCAATATCTCCGGTTCATATTATATTTTTCTTCGTGGCTTTCTAGAGAAAATACAGACTCAACAAATGGTCAATCTCAAACCATCAACAGACCGCAACTCTATATAATTACTTCAGAGATGCAAAACATATATTTCTTTCGTTTCCTACACTAAGCGTACCTAGAAGAAATAGAAATAAAATAACATAATATTATCATAAACAAACTATAAGAATAAAACATAACAACCTTACATACTTATAACATGCTTACAGACATCCAAGCGAGAAGATTTTATTTAGCCTCTATGGCTAGCACACATATTTTGTTTACAAGGGAGGAAGAAAGAAAAAAAAGAAGAGAACTTGCTTATTTTCAATCTACCCCCAACTTCAGAGAATAGAGCATTATATAGGCTGATGATATTTTCAATAATTTGCTTCTGCATATTTGACCAATAATTCAATTGGTAGAGAATAAAGTCTGCGATAATTGAGTCAATGGAGAATTATTGTGATACGGTTAGATTCCTACTTGATAATTGTTTTGCTTTACAGCCTGTTGGAGAGTAAGTGCTTGTACGGAAGATTCTTTTCTGATAATTGTTTTGCTTTACAGCTATTTTCCTTACATATCACTATTTCTATCTTCAAGTTTATCTCGTACTCCTTGTAGAGTATCCCGCTTATGACAATACATACATTTATGCATTTTTTCTTTTTGTAATTTCTAGCAAAATAATTTCTTTACTTTATTGTTGGCCGCTATAGTATTTTTTCTGAGAATGGAAACCCATTTTTTGTACATGACTTCATGTATCTTTCGCGCCGGCTGCTTACAATGACTATATATGAATAAGTGCGAACAATGATAAACCTAAATATTGGTTGGATCTAGTTTCTTAGTATCATTCCATATTTGACATAAATCATTTGCTTAAGATCTCTGCGATAATATTTCAATCGGTCTATAATTGGGAGTATAATGTTTGCTGCAAATTTTGAGTTGTATAAATGAGATAATTCCTTCCTGAATTTCGGGATAAGTTTGATATAATTTCATATTTATATTCAGTGCTTGACAACCATGTGGAATGTTTCCACGACATCAATAACTGATTTTGGTGATTCGTTTAGAAGATTTTCATTATCTAAATAAATCATGCTTACTAAGCCATAATTATATAATTAAGAGATAATTTTAGAATTTGTAGTTTCATATTTATAGACAACTTGGAATTTTCCAGCCGTTTGAATATAAATATGAGAATTAATTCTTTCATTGTATAGAGATAATTACTGCCATTCATTAGCTATTTCTGTAATACTCTTTGCAAAGTTACTTGATGTATTTTGCAATACCTTTGCATATGAAGGTATTTTGTTTGAAGATCTGGGTACTTCTTTTGTAATTTTGAGATCTGCAAAATATTTTAATTCAGTAATTGAAGAAGTTGATACTTCTTTTATAATTTAAGATTTGCAAAACCTCATATTTTTTGTAATTCAGTAATTGAGAGTAATTCTTCTTCATGAATTTCTTCATTTAGATAATTCTTTACTTCAGTAATTCTCTTATAATGTTATTGCTGTAGGCAATTTCACATTCTAATTTTCATATTTGTAATTTAAGTATTTCTAGGTAATTGTTCAAGTCCGGAAGAAACTTTTCATCAACATTGCGGGCTATATCATATATTTCCATATTTTCAGTGCTTGTATTCATTTCCTGCATAATTCACGAGTTAAAGTGTCAGCAAAAACATTTTTATTTCTCTCAATACATTCTATATCAAAAGTATATGCAGAAAATTAACTTTGTCATCTCATTAATATTTTATTAGGTAAAAAATTCACAACTTTTCTTTTAATAAATGAAATAGCTGTTTTATTATCCGTTCTGATTAAAAATGTTTCATTTAAAATGATTTTAAAATTTTTAATTGCTTTTTTAATTGCTAATAATTTTTTTTCATTAGTATGATAATTATGTTCTGTCGTTGTATTCATACATGAGCTGTATATGCAGAAGAGTTCGATATCAG